TACTTGGACGCATGTGTTAAATATATTTATCTTATTGCGTTGCTGCACGTATATTTTGTTCATTGCATTTTGTATCGATTTTGATTTGATTTTCGTACGCCAGTCTTCAACACCGTTTTAATTGAATCTTCCATCGAAATTAAGCAGCCGATGTATCACAGTCCGTTTCTCCTCACATTCCGCCCCGTAATTCACTAACGCCCTATTAATCTAAATTTTCGTATTACTCCGGCGACCTCTCCGCCTAATTAATCACAATCAGCGACGTTCTGCGCAGCTATTAAGCGCTACTCAAACAACCTCGACGCGTAACATCTACATCTTCAGCTGCGACTACACTGACGGACAATCGAAAACACAACTCGCACCCCTTTAATTAATATTCGATTAACGGAGGACGAGTACCTTCTCAATAAATTTCAGGCGAACGTCGAACGTAAATCTGCTCAATGAATTTAAGATAACCATCGAACATGTACCATTTCGATGAATTTACGGTCTTTTTACGTTAAAAGATAACCTATAAAAAATTAATATTAATTAGATTAAGTCCTTAAATCCTGAAATCTTTAAATCCTTAAATCCTTATTCTTCTGGTTAAATCCCGATGCATTGCGACAAATGAAAAATGAACAACGACCAAAATCCAACCTACCAACTCTCGATTCATTGCAATAAGTTCAACGAGCACAGATAAAAATTAACCCACGAAATACTGATTCATTGCAACAAATTCAACGATCGAAGAGAAAAATGAATCTGTCATGAAGCTCGATTCTTAGCAGCGCAGTACCTTGCCAGGTATCTCGAAATAAAGACCAAGCAGCAGAACATCTTCTTAGCTAATTTCAACCCCCTCCCCACACAGCGGATGATCGATGGCTCCCATTAAAGTTCCCAAAGGGAGCACCGCAGTGTTTGTTTGTAGACGGGAACGGGAACGAGTGAAGGTTCACACTTTGCCACGAAAACGACTACCAGATTCTGGGTCCTGAGTCAACAGGCCAATTTTCCGGGGCCGTCGGTCGATTTTCACCGGCTTCCCCGTGAAAACCAGCAGCGCCCCGTCGGCTCTGTCATCGATCCCCATTGTCGGGTTTACCCAAACATCGGGCCGGAAACGGACACCGTGGCTCTTAACGACTTTCCGACACCAGACGGGCCCTCCTACCTGCCAGGCCCCGAATACCGGGATGGAATGTGGGCCGGACAGGTGAGAGGGGCGCCGTGCGAACGGTCCCTAACGTCTCGGAGGAAGCGTCCGGCCGCGTGCAACCGATCGGGACAAGATAATTCGAGGCCCCGATCTTCCACGAACCTCGAAAACGCCGAGATCTCGGGGCCCATCCTTTCAGATAATCGGCAGACGACTTCCATCGGTTGGACGCTCGAAAATCTCGGCAGAGTCACGTTTCTTCTTTGAATTCTGAAGCTTCTTTCGGCGCGTCGTTGAATATTGATGATTCTGCGAGCGAATGAACAGCGAATACTCCTTAATCGACGCTCAGATTGTGCACAAAAGTGGAGAATTTCCGAAGAGCAGACACGATTGTTCGAGCCTCGCGGCTCGTTTTCATAGTTGTTGGCAATCGGTAACTATAATTGCATTTCCTTTTCCCAAATTGTCTATTTTTGTGCACGATCTCAGCGTCAATTAGGGGGAATTTACTATAGGCTTGACAATTTTGGGAGCACATTTCTGGTACATTTTTTTGCAAGACTTTTCTCATCGAGTTCTTTTAAATTAACCGGAAAAATTTGACCGGAATGAGCATCGATCCTCGACTGACTCTCTCGAAGGTGTCACAACTATAATTTACAGCACAGTCGTTACTGGATTACAATAATTTCACACAAAACAGGACAAACTTACTATAAAATAAAAGAAAATATAGAAACGTGCGAATATGCTGTGAATTTAATTGTTTACAATTAAATCGTATTAATTGTATTAAACATATACGTAAAATAAAAAGTAATGATACCATATTGTATTTAAACAATGCTTGCATCGCTTTACCAATTCTTTCACGTACAGTACTAAGCTTGGAACGAATTCTGAAGCAACGGAATCGAAGTCGAAGAAGAACGAGTCGTCGCCGGAGAAAGAATCGCAAACACAATTCGAAGGGGGGGTCGGCGGGAGGATGCTGCTCGTTAAATACCTCGATCGGAGACGATCGTGTGTTTAGACAACGTCGTTATTTTTCTTCGGTTCGTGAAAACAGCGTTATGTAACGATGACGAAAGGAGACGTGACGCGAGCGTCGCGTCACAGAGGAACCGCGGGTGTCCAGACACAATCGACGCTAATATTTTCACCGAAGGCCGGCATCGGCGTCGGTGATGTTCGGGTTTCCACACCGAGAAATGTGTGTCGTGACCGAAATAATGCGTGGGCGTGGGCGTCGAAGTGCGGCCGTGATGCGAGCACCCGCGTGAAAAGAAAATAACGCGCGCCGAAACGGCTATGCCGAGCGCCCAGCGGTCCGAAAGTTTTGCGTTTCTTCGCGCGATCTGCATTGTTTTCTCGATCGATCTCACGCATTCGGCATCTCCGCGAGATCGAGTTTTCTCTGAAAACGGTCCCGAATTCCCTGGAAACCGCGGGAGACTCAATGACGGAGCTCGAAGATCGAAAGTTGCCAGAAAATATCAGAAGTTAGATGATTTTCAAGGAAGATCTTGTTGGATTTTCAAATAACAATGGGAAGAAAATTAGCAATATGTTTGATGACTGAAGAAAAATTATCACGTAGTATTATTTCCTTGCATTCGAAGCTATTTTAACTCTATTGTTAGTGCATTTTGTGCATAGGAAAGTCAGTCTTGTGACGCATATAACAGTTTTTAAAAGAAATATAAACAGATTTCGAAATGCAAAAATTACTTTGGTAAGTGATATAACGATTTTTGGCGGTGACACAAAGTACAACAATTTTTAATGATGTCAAAAAGTCAATTCTGGATATTTTTTGGTATCTTGTCAGTTTCGTCCATCTCTTAGATCATGATTTTAATAAAAGCTTGTTTAACTATGGTAGTATTGCAAAATTATCGTTGACAGAATACGTTCAGAAACTAATTTCTAATTTTCTTCTGTCGCTATGTAACGTTTCAATCTGAAATTTAATTAAAACCAACAAGAAATTGCAACAAGGTTAACAAATATTAGAGGCTCAGTTTCCGTTCTCGACCAATTAAATTATATTTGGACTTTGCACATTTGTCATGATTAAATATAAATTATTATAAACATGATTATGTAGTTACAATTAAATATAAGAGAGGATCGATGATTGCGGATCTAAATGGACCGAGTCAATTATCTCTCGGAGTGTTAATTCCCTGAACAAAGGAATAAACGCTGGTGCGTCGTAGCGGATGAAACAAAGGGTCGAACTATACGAGAAATTTGTGACCACTGAGTCGAGTCCCTTTTTGATTTCACGGTGACGTAGACGCTCCACGATGGCGGAAATTTCACTGAACCGAAGCAGAGCTCACCGTAAATGAGCGTTTCCTCTTTCCTTATCTCTCTCATACGAATTCTCCCTGTTTCTCTCTCTCTCTCTCTCTCTCTCTCTCTCCTTCTCTTCCTCGTTCTCGTAAAACCGAGCGATCGTAGTAAACACGTGGGCACGTGCATGTGTCTCAGCTTCTACGTGCAACGTGCGCATGATCGGGACAGTGTGCGACTATTTGTTTATTCGTTTGTGCCAAAAACAACACGCCGAGTCCCTTGTTCGCGATTAATTGCATCGATCACGGTGGGGGATCCAATTATTGTTGTTGAACAAGCGTGAGTTAACTATTATTGCGATACTTCGAACTAATTAATCGACACAACGTGTATCTTGCCGGTACAACATATTGCAAAATGGTAAAACTACCATCGAGAACAGAATTATTCGATTACACGTCCGCCCGATCGAAAATGATCTTTTAAATTAATTGTTCTACATTTTCCACCGTATTTATGCTTGTCACTTTTCGACACAATGTTCGATTTGAATTAGCTATCCTCTCTGCAAAACAGTTAAATTATCCTCCATCGAACAGCGATCAAGCGTTTCAATGAAAATTAAAGCGTTTCGATGAAGAATGCTGTTCAAGCTGATAATTACCATCCCACGCATCTTACCACCCTTCGACGAACGTTCATTATCAGCCTTCAGTCATAATCGAATCGATTATCAGAATTATTAATCGATTCCGTGACGATAAGGAGAAACGCTGCGCGTCACAGAATTTGTAAAAATTTCAGTCGTTGCGCTGATTGAACCGAGGCATCTAAGATTTACGTATTTATCGGTAAAGAACATCGCGAAAGCAAATTCTATGGACTGGAAAAAATGATGCAATTTGAAACACTGCTAACACGAAGCACTAAGTGATCATTTAACACGTCCGCTGAATACGATCTTTTGTAAACACGATCGAAACGTCGCCAACGAGAATAAATTCTCTAAATATCATGCTCTGTGTTAATAATAGTAATCTCGAATAATTATACAGCGAATTCGCACTCGGATTTTGCACAGAAATGGACAATTTCGGAAGAGAAGATACGATGATTCGAGCCTCGCGGCTCGTTTTTGTAGACGCGAGGCTCGAACAATCGTGTCTCCTCTTCCCAAATTGTCCACTTTTAAGCGCGAATTAGGGAGAAAAATTACCGTATCCACGAAATTCGTTCGACGTTCATTACGTGAAACAGAAAATCATGGTCGTCGCACATGTGTGTCGACGATAGCGAACGCGTTCAGCGACACAATCTCGTAAGTGAAAACAACATGCGAGACACGCGGCGTTGTTCGTCGCAGCCGCAGAATTGTCAATCTAAATCGAGGAGAAGCGTTCACGCTGCTATCGTTCTCTAAAATCGAAACGGTCTTTATCGATCCCGTACAGCTCCCCCGAGTTCAATGACGGTGGCGAGCAGTGACGTAACAGCGAGAAGGCGTAAGACAAAGGGCACAGTGGAAACGTTCACTCACCTTCACCAGAGAGTTCACGACCGGACTGTCCAGGAGACCCTTGAGGAAGAGCAGGTCCGTGTCGTCCGCCACCTTGCCCAGCTCCTCCAGGTTGTCGCGGACGTGCATGAAGGCGGCTGGAACAGTGACCACGCACTTTTCCATAACACTGCGGCGACTTACGCGTCGGCGAGGGGCAACGACACTACCGGTGCTAGCGTCGAGACGAGGGTGCGAAAGAGGGAACGATCGGCCGAGGGGTGGCCGGGTGTGGCCATCTTCCGGCTGGATCAATATTCGACTAGCTACAGGTGGCCGAGAGCCACGGCACGCGGTTCTTCGTGCCGGCAAAAATCGAAGGTGACGGTCCCGCGAGCCCTACGCACGTCTGCCAAACCCTTTCCCCCCACGCGATATTTTTTTTTCGCCATAGATTCGTCGTTTTCTTCATCCCCGAAATTTCGTTCGAACGATCGCTGTTTTCTTGAAGCTTCAAATTTTTTTACAAATATTCGTCGTTACCTTCGTCATCAAAATTTTGTTTAGTTGCACGCATTTCTAATAGTTTTACATCCTCGATCCGTGTATATTTTTTTCTGGAAGAAATGTAACCCTTGTTCGTCGGTTGTATTTATTTAATTAACGTTCCCCGGACATAGTTCACGTATACAATTTTTTTTCGTTATAGATTCAGCATTTTCGTGATCCCCAAATTTCCTTGCAATATTCGTTGTTTCCTTCATCCCCGAATCTTTTTTCGAACGTTTACTATTTTCTTCAACCTTAAAGTTTTTTTACAAATATTCATCGCCACCTTCGTCCTCAAAATTTTGTTTAGTTTGACGAATTTCTATTTTATCCGAATAATAATTTTATATCCTCGATTCGTGCATACTTTTTTCTGGAAGAAATGTAACCCTTGTTCGTCGGTTGTATTTATTTAATTAACGTCTCCCGAACGTATAAAAAATTAAAAATGGTATTCACTTAAGATTTCACTAGTTTACCAGCTGGGAAAACGTGATTGTTAGGAATTCTTTCTCGAAACACTGATCAACGTTTCATTTCAATCGATCACTTATTCGAAAGTACGTATATTATGCAATTTAAAAAAATGTTGTTGCTGCGAGAAGTTAGAAAATGAACGAATTATAGCCGCTGGATGACAGGTCATGATCGTATAGATCGTATAGACTGTACAAATTGACTAGATTATATAGATTGAATAGATTATGTACATTCCATTGATTATATCGATCGCATTCGTGATTAAATTCGTGCCGCAATTAACTCTGAAGCTACAAATCCCCGTAAATAATATCATAGTATCAAAATTTCTTAGCGGATTAAATCAGAACTCGATAAACAACGGGCATCGTACAGCGCAAGCTCAAGGATGAAGAAATTATCGCGGAGATAATGAGCGCACCTTCTCTCTAACGACGTTCGCAACGTCTAATTAGAGTTAATTAGAGTGCGCCACTGACTTTGCGTCGACCTTTCCCTTTCGTTCGCCCCCGTTTCGACATTGATCTTTCGGCTGCTGCTACGGTTCACCAGCGATCTATTTTCCAAAAAGCTTCCGCGAAGAAACGCGCGCGCGCGTGTCTCGTCCGTGTGGACTGGCGTCGCCGATGTGTGCGGGCTCTCGGAAAAGCTTTACGATGTTTAATTTTCGAGAGACAGCCTGCACTTGCAGCTCGAGTGATCTCGATAACAGGCCGGGGCTACTTGTACATAACCGACGATAACCGACGTCGTCGACGCACCGGTTGCATGATAAATGCGTTCACGAAGGTAAACATCGTCGCGTGGAACAGACAGGGACCAACTATAGCGAACCACGGTATCATCTGTCACGTGTACCTCGACCTATTTCCTCACCACGCGGTGTATTATAGTTCGTCGCTTTTTTTAAACGCGCTAGGATCACCGTTGCATCGTCTGCCCTTAGTCAGCGAGTCATCCTAATGACCCACTTCAGCATTCTTTAGTTTACTGTTATCGATGATGTAAAAAAGTGCTTTCGCCTGCATCGTCCAAAAATAGAGATTGTTCTGAACATTAGCAAATATATTTTGGCTGGTTTTTGTAAATCTTTGTCGTACTAGATTTAATTCTTAGTACAGAGGACATAGTTGCAGAGGAGTGAAATAAATTCTGTTGTTGATAGATCGAGGTAAAAGTTGTGATTAAATCTCCTATTAATTTTAATTACCTGCGGACGATATAACGGTATCTTTATATTGTTTAATAGTTCTATCTCTGTTCCATATTTGACACTATTCCTGTCATAAACGCGTGAAAATTCGCGATTTAGTTAACCAAATTTCAGCAGCAGCATCATCGCCATTTTTATAAGAAGCTGCAATAAACATGGCGAACCAAAGTCAGAGCGTTAAACAAACGAATCTGCGAAGTAGCCAGATATTTCGTAGAAATTATTGCGTTCCCCCGTCTCCTGAATCCTCGTCTCCTCGTCGCCCACCAACCCCGAGCGATAAGCTATCATTAATTGACCGCGATCAGGCGAACAATTTGAAAATCGAGCCGATCGAATCCGGCATAAACGCTCCGGAATGATGTTTATACGAGCGAAGGCCGCGCAAAGGATCGTCCGAGGAATTCGGAGCTCGTTCCCAGACAACCGACTATTTTTTCTTTAATTTCGCGAAACCAGATTCCGGGATCGGAAATGTTTGCCGGAGCTCTGGCCAACCGCCCCGCATTCCTCTCTGTTTTTCCCGGCGCGCGACGCCGATTAAAAATAGCGAACCCCCGCGGGGTCCCTCTCTTCTGTGTTCAGCACTTCGGTGTTTACCATTTTCGATCTGGTACAATTTGGTCCCGTTCACGTCGTCGATGCTGGCCAACAGCCGGCGGTCCTCGATCTTCTCCTTCCTCCCGAAGAAAACCATTTTTTATTCCTCCCAGGCTCGACAACGAACTATCTCACGAACGATCTCGGCCTGTCTGCTCGGCTAATGCGCGATCAACGTTCACATCGTCACCGAACCGACGACATCTCTCGCCGTTACCGAACGATTCCGGCCGAGAACCGCGTCGAAAAATCCACGAACTCCGAAGATGTCCACTCTGTCCGCTGTCGGGCCCCCTCGTTCTTCCGCAGAACCATCGACAGACCAGTTTCTCGCCGTTCTGGGTCACCGTTAGCGCGCGTCGAACATTTTCGTGGCGTGTTTCTCGCCTGTTCTTCGATGCGCGTTCACCAGCTGCGCGCCGATATCCGAGCACGTTTCGTCGAACGAGGACGATCGGGATGGACGAACCGGCGACGAGAAACTACGATGGTGGAAACACGAGCCAGCGCGATTTTCTTTCGAGAACGGTGGCGGCGTGACTGGCTCGCGACACTACGTCGCGGTGAATGGGAACGCTGTCTTACACCTGCCGGGCCCCTACGCGCTCGGGGGACTGAAAGCGACACCCCGTGGAGGTGACGGGACTACGGAGTGCTGCGGAGAGCTACGCCGTGCTGCGGAGCTAGGCAAGCGGCCACGATCTCTCCGGTACCCTCGGCCACGAGGAAATCCGCGCCGCTTTTTAAGGGCATCGCGGAAGGAAGGACAGCGAAAGTGTTCGTCTTCGTTCCGTCAGGCTGCGTCGCGAACAACTTTCCGTCACTGGACACATTCGCCGCGCGTTGACTCGCCAGCGCAACGTTCTATTTGCCACCGTTTATCATCGATCGCGGCAATCAACGCGTTTTTTATACCCTTCGTCGCTCGAGTTTCACGAGCGTCGTGGCGAAAGACCCTTTGGACGGAGCAAGAACGGTTTCGACTCGAAACTCGAGAAATCTCGAGTTTCGTCAGAAGTCGAGTTTCGGCCTGCAAGTTTTCGTCGTCTTCCGGCAGTGCTTATTCGACACGGTGTTGCTGGAACGTCGCGTTTTTCAGTGTGCGGAGCATGCCGATTTAACGGTGTCCCTGATCGAATCAGTCGTTCGCTGTCGCAGCTTTTGAATCACGTTGTTGCGTTTGTTAACGGTGTCCTTGATCAAATCAGTCGTTCGCAGTGTTTCGTCTTATTTGTTGTGTTTCATTTCTTGTTGTATTTCTTTAGCGTCGGCAGTTTGTTGATCTTGTAGCGTTCTTGATCGAATCACTCGTTTGCTATCAAATCAGCTACGAAATCAGCTTTCAAGTAAACGGTTAATTGTTTTAACGTTTCCTTCAGAACGGATTGTTCATAATTTTTCGTTCTTCGTTACTGAATTCCTCGGGATCCATTGTTCGGCGTTTTACTGTTACAAAAATATGTATTTTGTTTGTTAGACAGTGTCAGTAATGGCGTCGATTATGTTCAGCCTGTAAACGTGTCGGTTTTAATTAAATTAAACGTATCATGCAACGAATTATCAATGTCTAATAGTTTCATTGTTCGCTGATTTCACGTTCGTCTTCATTCGAATCTCTTGGACGGTTTTTTCCTTCAAAATACATTGAAATTGAATTAAAATCTTTCGCATCATCAGCAGGTAGAGTTTTAATTACTTATTAGAATTATTTTGTCACAGTTGCGTGTCCCTTGTGGCATCCTTCAAGATCGACTGCCTGATACGTTACTGTTAAAAGTTTGCTATTTTTAATCTATCAGACCGTTTTCTCGCGATGTCACTGACGGCATCTAGCATCTGCAGCCTCTAAATCATGCTCAGGCTTGTGTACAACATTTCTCAGTATCCACCAATGTTCTTCGTGAACGATGTATACGTTCAAAATTATTTCGGAGTCAGATTAATCACCGATGTACTTTCAGCGCTTCGGTCACGTTCAAACTAAACGATCATTTCTAACGCTCGTTTCGTTTCTTGTTTCTTTCCAAGGCGATCATCGCTTTAATAATCATTTTGGAAACGAGATCGATCACCGATCTACTGTAAACATCATTTTCCAGCGAGATTAATCACCGACGTTGTCTCACCACTTCAATCATTGTTCAAACACATCTACAATCGTTTCTAACGCTCGTTTCGCTTCTTTCCAAGACGATCTCCGCTTGAAAAATCATCTCGCAGCGAGATCAATCATCGTCCGTGCTTTAAAAATCAATTTCGAGCGAGATCGATCACCGATGTGTGTACTTTGAAAATCATTTTGGAGCGGGATCGATCACCGACGTACTTTCACCACTTCGATCATCTTCAAACTCGTCTACAATAATTACGAATGCTCGTCTAGCCTCTTTCTTCTTAGAACGATCTCTGCTCGAAACAGTTTTTGGAGGCAGATCGTTCGATCATTCTCGATGCTCGTCGAGCCTCTTTCTGACACGATTTATATTGAAAATCGTTTCGCAGTCAGACCGATCGTGTACAATAATTTCCAGCTGATCACTCCTGACACCGACTTAACGATCGTGGTCTGGCCCACTCGATTTGATCCACGATCGAGGAAGAAGACGAAGCGATCCTCTGAGGATCGAGAGCGAACCGCGGTGCCGTCGTCGCAGAAGAACGCTCGAAACTGGCGGTCGAACAGATTTCGTCTGTGAACGAGGGATCAAGGGGCGGAGGAGAGCTATTCTTATTTTTCCAGGCGAGACAGTACGGGCGTAGGAGAGTGGGAGAGCGAGAAGAGAGAGCGAAAGAGAAAGAGAGAAAGAGAAGAGGACACGCACGAGGAAACGTAAGCACCACCGACTGAAAACTGGCCGCAAGAGTCTACGTGACTAACGACTGTGGGTCCAGAAACGAACACCAGCTGGTGTTCGAGGAAGGGGGGGAAGGGGGAACCATGAAGAAGAAAAGAAAAGTACAGTCGTCGAGATTCGACGTCGTCGTGACGCTTCGCCGACGTCAGACTTGTCCTCCGATGCTGCAATCCTTTTTCTGCGGAGGCTATTCCTCTGCGTTGGAGGTCCAGTCTTTCCTGCATCATCATGCCATCATGCGATCACGGAGTTAGGTCGCTGTGCCCTGAAGCTCCTTGAAGCTTCCTCGCGAGATAAAATGTCCAGAATAATACTTTAATTCGAATTGCACAATATAATAGAACCACAGAACTTTCTAGCTGAAGAAGCCAGTGAGTTCGACTCGAATCGCGATTAGTGTGAAGCTAGAACATATGATCGACGTCCATGATCGATGATCCACGTTGCGAACTATCCTCTTGTATCTGTCGATCATAATTAGACTGCGGATTTCATGAATTTATTGCAAAAATGACTGGATAAAATGACAAAGCGCGAAGCCGTCGAACAATTTCGAGAGAATCGCTAGCTTTCTCTCAGCTTATTAGAACTGTTAAAAAAAGAAATACGTTGTTGTTCAGTTTCTGTTGTTTACAATCGAGTCAAAACATTTTCTATTTTGCACTTAGACCCGTGAGTTTTAATGTATCCGTGAAAACAAAGCGAAAGAATATTCGACGAGAATTCTGGGAACGGTTCTTACGAAAAATCTGGAAAAATCTGGAAAAATCTGACTGTACGATATAGTTCGGCGAAGTATTTTTCGGGCAGTCCTAACAACAAACGACCGGGGCAATCAATTCCTGGACGTAGTCAATATTTCTCGAGCGTTAATAGCGGATAATCTGTTTAATGTTTAACATTATGCGAACGCTGCGACGACGCCGTAAGATCGCTCTTGCCGCCTTCGCCTTTTCGGAACTGCTTCTTATCCGAAAGGTCGTAAAAGTCAGACAGTAGCTGGCCGCTGCGTGGAAAAAGAACGCGAAGTGGAGCACGAGCAGAGCAGAAGTTCTACGAGAACTTTCAGCTATCCATCAGGGGAACGCCGCTACTGATCTATCTTCCCGGTCCCGGAGCGTGGAAGTCGACTTAAAAGATTTCAGAACTCGGCGAAAAATAGGGGAAGTTCGCGGAATGAATATTTAGGGATGAGGGGGAACGGGTGGACGACGCCGACCAAGTTAAGGGAAGAAAAGAGCTCGGGCTTTTTTCCTCGAGAAGTTCCGTACAAAGTGTCGCGATGTTCGATCAAAAGTCCGGGGAACTGATATCAAGTGGAGCACTTGCGGTCATAAACACGAGGGACATTACAACTGTCACCGGCATTAAGTTTTACTCAAGGCTGCGAACGCTATAGCCGGCGCATTATGAGCTTTATCGACCGCGCTCCGGCTTTTCTTTAGGCAACACGTGCGGCCGAATCTAGTTTTGCCGGAGACACAACGCTAGTTTTCCATTACAATGGTTTAGAATCGAAGTGACCTGAGTCATATTCACGTAAATGTTGATCTATGCCTTAAAATGTGATCCATAAGAAACGTTAAAAATGTTAAAATGTCGAAAATAGCAAAATGTCGAAGATATCAAAATGTTAAAGAACAAGTGAAATAAAATATAAAGTCGCCGCGAATTAAATCGACCACAAATTATCTTGACAATAAATCTGGTCAGTAAACAATAACGTTTCTCGTTTCTCACAAACAGGAAAACGCGAGTTACGCCGCTATGACCCTAAACCCACTCGTTTGACAAACTATTAAAAAAGTTCGGACGATTGAAATCGAAATTGAAATCGAAATTGAAATCGCGATAGATAGGACCGATGTGAAACAGGAAGAGCTTGATCCGTCATTTTTATCAGCGGGAATGGAAACGGGTATTGTGCAGAGCTCCGCTGTTTCTGCATTGATCTAACGAACTATTAAAAAAAGCTCCGACAACATCAGTTGGTATAGAAATCGCGATGAAAGGGATCGATGTAGAACAATATACGCTTCTGTCAACGTGCGTACGAACTGGAACGTAAAAGGCAGCCGTGTGTAGGCTTTCGCGATTGAATATCCCATGGCCGCGGAATTTTTGCGATAATCGAACAAATTGTTAAAACAGTTCTGACCGTAGAGTTTGTGGTAAAAAGGATTGAAATAACGTGGATCGCGTTTGATGCACCGTTGTCACGAGCTGAAATCCAGGAGCGAGCTATGTGCAAATTTTTGAGGTTGAATATAGCTTTGCAATGAACAGAGAGATTTGCAATAATCCAACGAACTATGTAAAATGTCGGGATGATGAAAATCGACGGCACGAAGGATCGATGTAGCGCAGAAAACCTTTGATTGACCATTTTAACGAGGCAAAATGCAACAGCTGTGCGGATTTTTGCAACCGAAAACTGCTTCGATCACAGAATTTTACAACAGTCTAGCAAACTATTAAAAATATTCCAACGACGGATGATGCAGGGTTGATCTCTAAAGCAAGAGATCAACGGTCTCGCGATCCAGCAGAACATCCAGTGCCACGGTGTCGCCATAATCACATTGCATTAGGCCTGTTATGACACGTGTGTCCCGGCCGCGACGTGAAAAGCGGGCCGTAATCCGGCATCTTAGGTGCTTCCGCGGAAATCACGTTAATTTTTAACAGGATCAGAGCCGCCTCTCGGCGCAGCGCGACCCGTTCCTCTCGATCCCGATAAACAAAAGTCTCAGCGCGGAACGTCGCCGAAGTGAAACCGTTCGGAACGTCGGGAGTTTATCCTCGATAAACAGCATCGGAACCGCTCGAATCGAAGACAGGATCGACAATTCAGCCGAGCGACGAATTGCAGAATCTATTGCGAGCCTCTCCGTGAACAGCTGACGGATCGATCATTGGATATACGGGATCGAGTAAACGAAACGCTAGACATCAATCGCGCGAGTCTAGACGGTATTCAGTCGATCTCTGGTTTCGAGATGTCGATAACTTCGATAATGACGAACGAGAGACTCGGGAGTTTGTGTGCTCTTCGATAATGGTCGCAAGAACGATCCTTGGGCAATGATTCACCTTTGCTGCACGGTATAAATCAATAAATTGTGGTTCGTCTAGAGCACATTCGAGCTTTAAAAAAGTGAACCTTGAAACAATATAGGCGGAAGGAAATTAAGGGCCAATTAGAGAATGATTCGAAGCAAAATGTTTAAATATTTTACGAGTAATTTCAGTAATTTCAATAGATTTTTACAGTAATTTCTCTCTAATTCGCGCTGAGATTGTGGGAAGAGGAGACGCGATTATTCGAGCCTCGCGGCTCGTTTTTATGGTTGTTGACAATCGGTAACTATAAAAAAGAGCCGAGAGGCTCGAATAATCGCATCTCCTCTCCCCAAATCGTCCACTTTAGCGCGCAATCTCAGCGCGAATTAAGCAAAAATTACAAGCATCTTGCGTCAAGCGTTGCTTCAATCAGATCGTTGCAAAACGTAGTCGCAAATTGCAAACATTTCAGGACGAAATTCTAAAAACTTGTCAAAAGAAACTGCGCGATCGATAAAACATAAACAAGAACGAGAACGTATCTACCCTGAAGAACGCATAGGGGTTGCTCCGAGGACCGAAGAGTGCGTCGCTTCACGACGACGACGGCAATGTTGAATTTAACTCGGGCACGATACGATTGTTATTACATAACGTGCCATCGTAAAGAAGTTTATCGATCGCTTCTCAAGGATCCGGTGTCCGCACATTTCGTTCAAGAACGTTTCCGAGAAGAGAAACCGTGTGCGGATGTCGATCCCGAGGAACGCAGTCTCGATCCTCGCGATCCTCGCGCGAGTGACTGAACTTTCCAGCTGATCGTGATCTACGTTGCTTTATTACGGTAACGACACGATGTCGAAGTTACTCCGACTCTCGCGATACGTTTGTTATTGCATAACGTGCTAGAGCAGCGGAGCACGTCGATCGAGTTCTCAATGATCCACTTTGCAACGTCAGTTCCCGTCGACGAAAAGACAAAGACACCGTCGTCGGGATCTGTCCACCGGTTCAACGGTATAGTCCACGTCAGTCCGGATCAGTCACAAAGTGCGAGGGTCTTTCGAACCGTAGCCCAAATAAACGTCCGGGGAGATCAGAGACGAATTGCGAATGGGTGGGAAAAAAAGAAACAACGGACATGGGAGGATCGCGGCCATCGGCAGCGGAAGCCAAACAAACAGTAGTGTCAGTCAGTGGGAAAAGTCGAGACTCACCGGAAGTCGAGTTCAGATGAGGCAACTCTTTCTTGGGGATGATCGAGCATCCGCAGATGTCCTCGATATCCAGCATCGACCTGCTGTTCTTCATCTCGTCGGCTGCGACGCGGGCGTGATCGGGAGGCGATGATTAGGTGATCCCAACCGGCATCGCGATCAGCATGGATCCCAGCCCCGGCTTTTGGACGCGTGCGATCCAGCCGCAGCCGGTCCGAATCCACGATCGATCGGCGAACCTGTCATCCCGCCTCTCGAAGGTTCCACGTGCTGTCGGGTCGATCGATCTCCGGCTGACGCGGCCGAGTCAAAATGGCAGTCGGAGATCTTCGGATCTATTCATAGATCGCCGGAGGTGGGCTAGAGCGGCCAGGCAACGGGAAGAACGAACGAGGAAGACCGCAACGGGACCTATAAGCCCGTGCTCGGTTCGTGTCCGGTACTTATAGCTTGTGGCAGCGCGGGGGTGGGTTTTTGCACCCTCTCTGCGTCCCAGTCGCTGCCACGGTCTCGCTCTCTGTCCCTCCTAGGCTGACTGCCTAGCGATTTCGCGACTCGTGGCAACGAGTGCGTCCTGATCGATCGATAGCAAGCGCGCTCACGGAAGGGCTGAAGCATTCTTGATTGCCGCCGCGGAACTGGAACGTCTCGAGGATATCAAAATATTTGTTTTGTCGATCCGCTGATTCGTGGCCTCGGGGGGTGGCGCCGCCGGGGAGTCCGATTTACTAGGGTACTTCGTTTCGTTTTAGTTCCCGGTATATCGTTTTCAGTTGGCCGAGGGAATGCGGAGTTGGCGGATGTAAGGAATTGATGATTCCGGGCGGAGGGAATTAGGATCGTAATGGTGGATTTTCATTTTTGAATGACGTGCTTGACGATTGTTGGATAACGTTGAAGAGAATGAAATAGAAGTCTTCTGACTTGAGTGGTTGAAACGAATAGCGTATTTGAGAGAGAGAGGGAGAGAGACGAGCAGAAATATTTTGAATATTTTATCGACGAATTCGTGTGCCCGGTTTTTGTAAACGTGGGGACAGCTCGAGGAATTCTGTCGAACTGTGTAAATAAAATGGTGGCCGGCGACTCTGGACACGACTCTTCGTTACCGATGTTTCAGAGAATTAGTGGGAATCGGGTATACTGTATACTTCGTTTGCGTTAACACGTGGAGGTACCACGAACGAGGTATGGAAGTGAACTTGACACTTGACAGTCTTGACACCCAATGCACAGACTTAGCATTCGTAGTTTATATTAAAACATCGACAGCTGATAAATATTGGTTCGCAAGTAGATGTCGCTGTTAGGCTATTGTTATAGTGGATGTAGAGAACGTCAATTTTTATTCCTATTTTATCGAGAACGTTAATGTGGATTTATTACAAATAATATTAACGAATTTAGGGATTTTATTGATGTAACAGTTTTTATTAAATATAGATAAATTAATGATAGCTGAGTGAAAAGTATTAAAATTAAATTGTGTTAAAAGTGTGAACATATATAACATAATGAAATTAATTTATTTATTTAACTTTCGATTATTAGCAGATTTGTCTACCAGTTTGAACGTTTTGTCACTAAATCCAGTGGCGTTATTTCGATGTTTCATGCAGCAAATGATTCTTGCCGAATTTTAAATTGTATCTTATGGCGAAAGCGTCAATAATCATTTGCTCCCTGTATTTAGAATAACAAATAAACTTTTCTGCATGATCTAAATGCAGGAGAATCTGCTGAACATTTCTAAACTCTCAGAATATTTTTTTAACCAGTACATTAACAGATTTCCGGTCATTCTCCAAACATTTAACAACATTTATAATAATTCCGTGTGTTAATGACGTTGATGAGTATTGCTCGGCGATCTTATCATATAATTGTTGACTGACTAATTTAATTAAACTCTTAGGTCCAATGACATCACTTTGGGAGTTCGTTTCAAACGCAAGACCAAGTTTCTAAATTGTTAAAGAGTGCGTTCCCTTAAGAATTTTCAACTTTCATAGGCTTAAATTAAATTAAATTACAACTTTACTCGAATGAAAACTAGAAGAATGCACTTTACGATGGGTCTATTTACACTGACGGACCGATTGCAAGTCAAATCGAAAAATCAATATTCCACCGTTAATTTAATATTAATGTGGTATACAAGATACTCTGTTCTCGCTAACACGCTTAAGTTCATGAACTATCGTTTCCCTAGGGCGTAATCCTCGCATAGCAAACAATGCGGGGCTAACAGTGTGCTCTATCATTGAAAGCCACTATTGATTCTAATCATCGTTATCTATTATCGTCCCATAATTACAGCTTATCCAATCCTAATTTGGAGACCGAATTCCCCTCGTGATATTGACGGAGCCTACGGTCGCACAGGCCGCGCATAAAACGATGCCAGGAACCACCGTTTCGTAGAGCGAGCACCTTCCAGCATTGCGTTCAATGACAATGTTATATCCTGCGTTATCAGCGGCAGGTGACGGTACCAATTACAAAAATGAATTGTCGCCCGTCCTGTTCAGTATGCGCCGGCCGCAGCGAGCATATCTGGCAACGTTATCATGCCCGTTCGAACGTCCTCCACATCCTGAGCACTCGGCATTTAGCCGTTTAAAATTCCCGTCCGGCCTCGCCGTAAAGCCGACCGAAACATTAACATCGATTCCGAAAGCAATTGCAAAAATACGCGGCCGAATGGCTGGCTCGGCCAACGTCCAATTCCGAAGTTCCGCTAATTACGACCGCGCGCCGAATGCGTAAGTCCCAGAACGTTTAAACGCGGAACTTTCGGGATTCATGTTTCGCGAGCTTGTACATCCACTTTCCGGGTGCTCGCTTTCCCAACATCCAAACTACGGCGTCCCGGGTTCGAATGTTACGGGTCTCATCTTCCACTTCTCGAACTAATACACTCATTCGGCCTCCACCTTTCAAAGTTCAAACATTCGACCTTCGTCATCCGGCGGCTTAAGCTTCCGTCTCTCTGGCATCAAACGTCCGCCGTCTTTCAGGCCCTAAATCGCCGGCTTAGGATTTCTGCCATTAGTATATCCGCCGCTTTGTAACGTCGACTTCGTCGAGAATCGAATTCGTTCTCCAGAATTTTAGGAGGCGACGCGAATTCGTTTCGAATTTTACTCGAACGCTCCAACGCGGCTGACTCATTTGACAAAAACATTACCTTAGGATCGTTTATATCTTTTTGCAACGAAATTAATGTAACGTTGTTCGCGTGAAATACGAAATCGTGGTCGTCGCACGCGTGTAATACTGATAGCTAATACACTCATTCAGCCTCCACCTTTCAAAGTTCAAACATTCGATCTTCGTCATCCGGCGGCTTAGGCTTCCGTCTCTCTGACATCAAACGTCCGCCATCTTTCAGGCCCTAAATCGCCGGCTTAGGATTTCTGCCATTAGTATATCCGCCGCTTTGTAACGTCGACTTCGTCGAGAATCGAATTCGTTCTCCAGAATTTTAGGAGGCGACGCGAATTCGTTTCGAATTTTACTCGAACGCTCCAACGCGGCTGACTCATTTGACAAAAACATTACCTTAGGATCGTTTATATCTTTTTGCAACGAAATTAATGTAACGTTGTTCGCGTGAAATACGAAATCGTGGTCGTCGCACGCGTGTAATACTGATAGCTAATACACTCATTCAGCCTCCACCTTTCAAAGTTCAAACATTCGATCTTCGTCATCCGGCGGCTTAGGCTTCCGTCTCTCTGACATCAAACGTCCGCCATCTTTCAGGCCCTAAATCGCCGACTTACGATTTCTGCCATTTGTATATAACGTCGACTTCGTCGAGAATCGAATTCGTTCTCCAGAATTTTAGGAGGCGACGCGAATTCGTTTCGAATTTTACTCGAATTTGACAAAAATGTTACCTTAGGATCGTTTATATCTTTTTGCAACGAAATTAATGTAACGTTGTTCGCGTGAAATACGAAATCGTGGTCGTCGCGCGCGTTAATTTGAAAACTTAAAAAATTCAGCTAAATCGACTCTGAAAAATTGCTCGCTTTGGCAGCGAATGTACGTGCCAGTAGCACACTTCGTTGCGCTGCAGCTGCTCGTTGATGCTCGGGATGCTAGAACATTGGGGATTCAATGGCGATTGGCTGATTGGGATCAGCGTGGTCGAGGCTGACTGCATAAACGACTCGTTTCGGGCCCTCTTCCGGGTCGCGTCACTCGTTGCGCTCGCTGTCGCACGGAAGACGACGCGCGGTGCACCGAGGCCTCCGCGGCGCGCGTTGTGCAACTGCAAAACAATTCACGCCTCTCAGCTTCGCTCGACAAAGGTCCGCATTCGCTCGGCATTGACCCGGCAACTTATCACTCTTGTCACGCGGATGCGTCCTCCGTGCAGACCGCGCGCGCGGCTAAACGCTATCTCCGCGCGCGGTTCCTCCTATCTCCGCGTATCCGTTACACAAATAGTGCCTTGATAATTGGTGGCAACAATGCGGAACCGTTCCCGGGCTCCTTTGTTCGATCGCGCACGAAAGCCGGCTGTGAATATTCGACGGGCCACTGTCAGGTGTGTGCACGCTCTTTGCGAATAGAGCAGAACCTCGATTATCCGGACTGTGCGGTGTGACACCGATGTTCGCGCGCTAGAACTGTCGCTTCACATTAAATTTCCGGACCGCTAAAAGCAGCTGCTTCGTATCAGTTTATGAAAGCAACAACGGGGCATTTAATCTGATTCGATAATGATAGTTGATAACGACGATTTATTTACAATAAATATATCATCACAGTCTGAATAATCGTAAAGTAAGAAAAAATAGTGACCCGTCGTTTCGACGGGTTCTGATTCGATAATGATAGTTGATAACGACGTCTTGTTTCGAATAAATGCATTTTTGTAGTCTGAGTAATCGCAAATTAAAAAAAATACCCGTCGTTTCGACGAGTTCTGATTCGACAATGATAATTGCTAACGACGACTTGTTTCTAATAAATATATCCTCACAGCCTGAATAATCGTAAATTAAGAAAAAATAGTGACCCGTCGTTTCGACGGGTTCTGATTTGATAGTGATAATTGCTAACGACGACTTGTTTGCAATAAATATATCCTCACAATTTGAATAATCGTAAATTAAACGAAATAGTGATCCGTCGTTTCGACGGGTTCTGATTCGATAATGATAATCGATAACGACGACTTGTTTGCAATAAATATATCCTCACAGTCTGCATAATCGTAAATTAAACAAAATAGCGACTCGTCGCTTCGACCGGTTCTGATTCGATAATGATAATCGATAACGACGACTTGTTCCTAATAAACACATTTTCACAGTCCGAATAAATATTTGTCTTGGCCGAGACTTTTACCATCGCAGATTTCGATACATAAGTGGCTCCGTAGATTCACTGAAAACGTTTGCTTTCGATA